TGTTCTTAAAGTTGGGAGAAGAGTGGACTTGGGAGAGGGGCCTTGAGCTGGATAACTTAATAAATCCTGCTAAAAATGTACATTTTATCCTGAAAGCTGTGGGGAATCCTGGCGGTGTCTGAAACGGGAAATTTTCGTGAGAATGGATGAAAGAGGTAGCGGCTGCGACAGTGTCCTTCAAAGTGATTTGGGCTTGGCCTCCACATGTGCAGGGGAGTCAGCGTGGCCAAAGACACCCTCGGTCAGGTGTGCATGCCTAACTCTACGGACATGGGAGTCCACACAAGGCCCAGCACTCCCTCCATCCCTTGACCCTTCCATGACCCTCATGTTCCCAGAGGCTCAACTGGAAAAGAGACCTGGTTAGAAGCGCTGGGGACGATCCAGCACAGCTGTGGTGGCTGATACCACCTTCCAGCTGTGGCTGTACCTGAGCCCTGGAGGCCTGCAGTTAAAACATTCATGTTGATGCACAGGATATACATTTTTGTGAGAAATATTTTTCATTGGCAAAGACTTCATCTCTCAGACAGATGCCCAGGTATTTATGTAAGAATTTCTCTTTTTTTCCCCTAATCCTCACCTGGAAGAGAATGCCTCTACGATTCAAAGAAAAGCAGTCCACTGCACTAGTAGAAATACTTAGACAAGATTTGATGACGTCCGAGTCCATTCCAATGCCAACTCTCTGCGGCCTGTGAAATCTTTTTTCCGAGTGTGACAAATTCTTTGTGGGTCTAATGCGCTTGGTGTGATATAGCAAAATGGGCACAGGTTTTGGAGTCAGACTTGGGTCAGAATCCTGGATCTGCTACTTACCAATGGAGTGGCCTGGGTTTCTTTATCAGTAAAATTAGCGGTCAAAAGTCCTATCTCCTGAGATGAATGTGAGACAATGCACATGAGAAAGCACCAGGATTTAGCATTTGGAAAGCACTCAAAAGAGTTCCTCCCTATCCTCCTTCCTTTCTGTTTACAAAGACACATTTCACATTTTCAGAACAAACATTTCACAAATTATCATGATCAAATTTTCCTTTTTCAAGAATTTAAGGATGAGATCAGTATCATAGCTATTTATTGTGTGTATTGATTTTATTTTGGCTTCAATTTTATATGGGTGGGAAGGGAGAAGCACAAAATCAAATATATTGTATGATATCACCTTCTAAGCATAACCTTTTCTGATAGACTCAAGATGCAAAAAGATAATATTTTCTTTTTATAAGTCTGATTCTTTTATTTGTTAATCCCCTTAATCTTGCTGGTGTGGTGTTTTGGACCCTCCTGCTCAGAGAGATGGATGGCCAGCTCTGATATGAGCCGGGATTGCTATCACTAAGCAGTGCTCAGGGAGGGCAAGGAAACTGGAAAGAAAGAAGGTACCATATCCTCTTAACATTTCTGGTAGGATGAGTTGCCCATTCTGTTGTAAAGGTATTTTAAGGCTCTGGTTGCCAGCCCTGGCTGCCTGGGGCCACAAAGAATTCATTCATTCATTTTGGTCAATATATTTTCTTACCAAAATATAATAGCTAATGAAAGCTAAGGGGTGGTGAAATAGACATTGCCATGCCCAAAGGATTGTAATTAGAACAAATCTTTTGAAAACCAATTTGACAATTGTCAAGTTTTTAAATATTTGTACTCTTTGGGACTTCTCTTTCTGGGAAGCTATCTCATTGAAAGGGGGTCCAATTAGAGAAACAGATATGTGCGCAAAGAAGCTTATCACAGTGTCTTTTTATAATAATGAAAAACACCGGGAATGACCTCATAATAGAACAGTAAGATGCACCATGATACATCCGATAGATGGAGCCACTTACCAGTCTGTCAAAACCTGATCGTAAAGGCATATAAACAATCTCATTAAAACGGAATACTTTTATAAAATAAGCAAAATATGAAATATTCACAATTCAAAAGATCTGGAAGGAAGTATCTCAAATTTCAGCAGTGATAAGCTTTTGATGACAAGATCCTGAATGCTTTTCCTTTCTTTTTACTTATTACTCTCAGGTCCATCATGAGGACCAGAGTTAATTTTTCTAATTAGCAAATCCTCCTCCTCATCTTTATTTCATTTCATAAGGAAGTAAGCAGAGTCTTCTTGGTTTGGTCAGATGGCCAAGAATTGACTAAAAAATACGATAAATTATATTAATTACAAAAAAAGATGGGGCTGGTTGGGGAGGAGCCTGTTTCGTAGGCTCCTCCCCCCAGGACTTCTATAAGCTTGAATAGCAGGAGGGGTTACTTTTACCAGGGGCACTGAAATCCTGGTGCCAATGCATTCAAAGCCTTCAATTCCATTCTTAATGCCATCATGATTGTTTAAAGGGGGAAAAAAAAAGGAATGAACTTTTTAAAAATGTTTAGCATCCACTAGCCACTTTCTAGGCAGTGGCTCTGATTTGCCTTTTCTATCTATATTTCACCTTTCTCAGGCTTGCAAAAGCTTCTGGTAAAAGGAACTATTGTCTCCTTCCTTTTTCCTCACCTGTTCTCCTTTCTTCTGACCATTCAGAGAAGTGCCTTTTGCGGATTTAATTGATTTGGATGGGGGCGGGGGAGGGGGATGGAAAGACAGACTGAGCTTCATTTTGTTATGAAACAAAGCCTGCTTGATGCCTGAAGAGTTGACTGGAGAGGCAAAAATCTTCAGGTGGCCAGGACAGAAGGTTCTGGAAAGAGGGCACGAGAAAATCCCACAGGCCTTTCTCCCTGTGATGTGGCTTTATTTGGTTTACAAGCTTCAGGCATATTTGCTGACGTCAGCAGCCCATCAAAGTTTAAAATAATAATAGTGAAAAGGAAAACAGCTCCTTTTCTGCCAGGCAGTCCTGTTCTGCCAACTTCTGTGCTCTCTTTTGAGTTAATAAATGTCCAACTCCCCTACCACCCTGAGGGGGGAAAAAAAGCACAATAATTTTAAAACCACTAGGTCAGCTCATTGCAGGCACAAACCATTCAGACAAGTAGCGTTTGTCACACTCTAATGAGGATTTTACCTTTGCCTCCCAAGAAAAGCTATCATTAGGCCTTGTGTTTATGTGACCAAATGATTGTCTAGGGACAGTGGGTTTCTTTTGGTCCCTTTCCTCATTTTAATCATGCTCAAAGCCAAATACATAGATGTTTTCTGCATCAGAGAAAACGAAAAAATCATAATTATGCCAGCTAATGTCTTTTGAAAACATCAATTAAGAAACCGGCCTTTTACTTAAAAATGTGAAAATATCCACGCATGCTGTCATAGCACTGGGAGGTAGGGGGATGCGGACTCTCAAAAAGAGACACCCCAACAGCGTCAGGTCAGGTGAGCAGGCCCCTGTTGGCAACAAGCAGACAATCTCTTCAAGGAGGAAACTTCTCTATAAAGCAAGACCTCTTAACTTATCTTCGCATGTAGTGTTGAAACTGGAGCCAGCCGCTCCTGGGTTAGGTTGATACCAGGCTTCTGCACCAGGCTGGCACCACACACACCCCATTGTTAGCACCTTCTCGGGACAGATTAGATCCCACATTCCTCAGAAGCATTGCACTCCAGAGGGAACACTGCCAGCAGGCTCCTTCCACAGGGCAGCAAGCTAGCTGCCGCTGATAAGTTTTCATTGAAATAACTGGAACAGTTACACCGGGTCCCACCAGTGTAACTGTTATCCCGCTATGGAGCGAGGGAACGAGCCAGAGAGATGTTGCACTTGCATCTCCTGGCGCGTGCAAAGGCGTGAGCCAGACAAGAGTAATTCAAGTCCTTAGCTCACTTTTATATGCATTTATGTTCACCCAAGATGTACTATTAGCTTGATTGTATTTTATCTTTCTCAGGCCTGATCTAGTAAACCCTGGCATTCACACTATCTCAAATTCAGTTTGGAAAAGTAACTGTTCCCTTACCAAAAATACTGAAGTCAGACTTGGGTTTGGGTGAAATCTTTTAAGGTCATGGTTTTGATCACAGAGCTCAGTTCAAAAGCTGAATACTGACAAAGAGCTTTGCTTTCAAGTCTTAGTTTCAGTGGGAATGCTCATTTAACAGTAAGTTTAGTCTATGTCCTTAACTTGAATTCTGGAACTTCCCTTTTTTTTCCCCCCCTGAAATGACAGTGATTAGGTTAATGAAATGGCAGTAAGAATGAAAGGAAAACACACAAATCTTTGCAGGATCAAATCCCAAAGACCCAGATTAAATTTTAACCAAAAATTATGCCTGCCAGGAATCTGTATCTCAGAAGAGAGAGGTTTGGTTTTTGTAATAAAAAGTTATTTTGGAAAAGGGATCCCATTTTAACAAATACTGTATTTACTAGGAGGAAATATGGGGTTAGACGTCGGTACAATTTAGTCTTTGAAAGAAAATAACAGGCAAACAGCTTAGCAGACGGATAATTCCCAGATCTGCAGAAATGTAAACAGCCAGGATTTTAGTGCCTATGGGTTTTATAAAAGATGTTGCTGAGACCAACACCAGTGTGTCCTCTTTGGCTAGTTTTAACACGTTCACAGTCACAATTAACATTCAAGGAATTTCCTTTTCATCCAAGTGTTTCTTTTAAAAGCACTTTATGCTACAACCTAAAACTCTAGCTGCCATCAGTCCTTCCCATACAGAAGAGTGGGGAAATGTCCACAACACCCCTTTTTCTGTTTTTGAAAATGGGCTAGGAACATGTCAGTTTCCCTGGCGTGTTTGTTTTCCAGCAGGAGGGGTTCTCACCTCCTCCCTCCCTCCTTCCCTCCCTCCCTCCTTCCTTTCCCTGAAAGAGCTTGGACTGGAGACACTGGTCCTGCCCCTTCCTCCACACTCACCCCCAGCCTCAGGAAGCCGCTACCAGGCAGGCCTCCGGGAGTCCTTCCCGGCCCTTTCAGAGACCTGCATCCCCTCAGGCGCTCGGGGGCCCACCCCCAGACTAGTTTCACCTCCTGGGCTGGCCAGACCAGGGCTTGCTACAGGAAAGGGGAAAGCATACGTGTCCCTCCTGACCCTGCGCTTCCTATACAAGGGATTCGCACAGGGGCACCGAGTCCGAGTCCTGGCTGTGCATGGAGCTCAGCCCCGTGTCCGAGTCCTCGTCATTGCCAGGGCAGCTTTTGGCCAGTCCGCGGGCCTGGTCCACCCACACCTCAGCGCCGGGCGCAGGCCGGGATTCCCGCGAGGGTCCACCAGGGCCCGTGGTCCCATCAGGCGCTATCGTCATCTCCAACGTGTGCAAAGTCTGCAGGAGGCCCTGCAGCTCGCGCTCCTTGCTGTCCCACTGCTGCTGGCTGTAATCCAAGTCCGACTTGAGGGCCTCCAGGTCCGTGTTGAGTCGGAGCCCGATGTAGAGGCTGGTGCTGAGCTGCGTCCGGACTCGCTCCTGCTCCAGCAGCAGCTCGCCGTCCGGACCGCTGCCATCGGGCTGCTCCGGGCACTCCTCCCCCCGCGCCGCGAGCTCCTCCTGGCGCCGGCGCATCCACCTCTGGTTCAGCTCCTCCTGAATCTCGGCCGAGAGGCGCTCCAGCAACTCCTCCTGCTGGGCCCGCTGCTCCTGCAGCTTCCAGAGGTCCTCGCAGCGCTGGGCCAGCTCCTCCAGCGCCCCTGCCTGCCCCGGGCCGTCCAGAGGGGGCGCCGCCGCCGCCGCCGCCTCGGGCTCGGGCTCCTCCTCTCTCGGGCCGGGCCCGTCGAGCTCGATGCCCGCGTCCAGCAGGTACGTGTCCTGCACGTAGTTGACCCCGTGCCGCCGCATGCGGTCCAGGTGTACCTTGGCCTCGTAGCGGTCGATCTCGCGGTCCAGCTCCCTCAGCCGCTGCACCTGCTGGCGGATGGTGTGGTCCTGGGACAGCACCAGGTGCACCAGCGTCTCCATCCGCTCCACCGACACGCTGTCGGCGGCCCGCGGCGACGACGACGACGAGCAGCAGGACGAGGCGGTGGACGAGGAGGTGGACGAGCAGGGCGACGCCGGCGGCGGCTGCTGCTGGCGGCGGCGGTTGAGCTTGGCCAGCTTGCGGAAAGCCTTGCGCACCACCCGCCGCTGCCTCTCCTGGGTCAGAGCCGGGCCGGGCCGCGCCGCCGGGGCGCCCCGGGCCGCACAGGGCCGCTCGCGGCTGAGCACCACGCGCGCCTCGGCGCTGCGCGGGCCCGCGTTGGGCAGCGACGCCTCGCTGCGCACCAGGACGAAGCGCACGTTTTCCTGCTCGTCGCCCCAGGCGGCCCAGAGGCGCAGGATGCGCGTCTTGTTGGGCAGGATGCGCTCAAAGCCGCGCCATTTCTCCACGATGCAGTAGCACTGCGGGGGGCCGCACAGCAAGCCCGGCGGCGGCAGCATGTCCTCATCATCGTCCTCGTCCGCCTCCTCCGGGGGCTCCGGCTGCTCCCCGGGGCCTGGCGGATCCCTGGCCGCCCCCCGCCGCCTCCCCCGCCGCTGCTTCCGCCGCCGCCGCCAGCCGTCCTCCAGCAGCACTCGCACCACGTCCGAGCAAGTGGTGCGACGGGAGAGCCCGGACACCAACTTCTCCTCCTGGCAGATCCACACCGAGATCTTCTTCTCCGCAGGGTCCATGGCACACACTCTGGACGCAGGGGAGTGGACAGCCCGGCAGCTCTGGGATAGGACAGGAGCCCGGGACCCTCGCCCCTGTCAGCACGGACCCTTCTCAGCTGTGCACCGGGGCGTGGGCTGGAGAGGCTGCAGCTGGGTGCGGCCGGCCTGACGGCGTGTGCTCCCGGGGCAGTGCGCCCGCCCGGGATCCCACCGCTCTGGCACTGCCCGGGGTTGCTGGGGCCTCCCTCCAGGTTTTGCTCCTCCCCGCATGGCTCCTCCCCCTCCCGCCCTCATGCCCAGGAGAGCCGCGGTCCCGGGAGGCGCAGCGTCCAGACCCGCCCCTCTAAGCCGCTCTGTGCTGTTGGAATTAGGTTTGGTCCCCGCTCTGCAAACACGCCGCTCATCTGCGCGTGGGCTCCAGAGGCTGCTGCAGAGACTGGAGCCTGTGCCCCTCCGCTGCTGCAGAGACTGGAGCCTGTGCCCAGGCGGGATCAGCTCTGTGTCTTCCCACGGCCTGCCCGCTCCTCTCCTAGGGTCTAAGGCTCGCTAGCCTGACAAATGTTGACATGACTCGCCCACTCTCCCAGACACGGTTTCTGGCCCCTCCTGGCAGCGCCATCTCAGACAGGGAAACCAAGGCAATCAGTGTCTATGGCAGAGACTCTGTAACCACACTGGTTTACTTCCAGCCGAGAACTCAAAATGCTGCCTTAAGTAGTTACTTATTTAAAGAGAACAAGATGGGCAGTGTAATTCATGGGAAGGACAGGGAAATGGTCTGAGAAATGCCTCATTGGGCAATTTCGTGGTTGTAGGAACGTCATAGAGTGCACTTACACCACCCTAGATTGCATAACTTTCTACACACCTAGGCTGTGTAGCCTATTGCTCCTAGGCTACCAGCTTGTACAGCTTGTTACTGTACTAAATGTCTGTAGGTAATTGTAACAGTGATGTTTGTGTATCTAAACATAGAAAGGTACAGTAAAAAAAATAAGGTATAAAAGGCGTTTTTCAAATGATACACCTGTATAGGGCACTTACCGTGAATGGAGCATGCAGGACTAAGTTGCTCTGGGTGGGTCAGTGAAAGGTGAGCAAATATGAAGGCCTAGGACATAGTGTCGTCAGGCGAACAGTTAGCAAACTGGTAAACGTATGCGCCGAGGGAAACTGAAAATGCTCTCCCAATAACAACGAGGAAGCCTGGTTATATAGAGAAAGTGCCTGACCTGGCTCCTGATTGGTCCGTTTTTATGCAAATGAGTAATCCAAATTTGTTTAGTTTGATTGGTCCAATTAGCATTGCCCTGATTGGTCAGAAACACCTGTTCTGATTGGTCATTGTGGAGTTGTTCTGATTGGCCAGTGAAGATGCAAATGAGGTTAAAGCTGTGTAGTTCTAATTGGACAGGACAGGTCTCAGCCCATTGGTTGAAAGATGATCCCATGAACACCTTTATAAGGGTTGGCTCGCAGGCTAGGAACACAATGCAGAAGATCTACAAGTCAGTCTGCAGCTTTCCTCTGAAATGAAGCATGAAAATGAGGCCCTGGTCAGCAATGGCTGCTAGACTCTAATTCTGAATTTCAGCCCAATTAACCACCCAGAGTCCTGCTTGGCAGGTATGTTCCTTCTCAACATCAACACTGTACACTACTGTAGACTTTAGAAACTCTGTAAATTTATAAAACAACATGAGAGTACATCAAGCACAAGAGAAAATGATACAATCAAGAGGCTTGGTAAACATGAAGTGTATGATGCTGCTGTAAGGGTAACACGGCAAACTGTTTTACAGAAGACTTTTTGAAATAAGTAGAATGAGTAAACTACAAAATAATGATTAAGAGCATAGCATAGTAAATATGTAAACCTGCCACACAGTTGTTTATTATCATTATCAAGTATTATGTACTGCACATCATTGTATGTGCTATATTTTTGACAAAAAAAAAAAAAAAAAAATCCTCACCCGAGGATATCTCCCCATTATTTTTATTTCATTTATTTATTTTAAAATATATTTTATTGATTTTTTACAGAGAGGAAGTGAGAGGAAATAGAGAGTTAGAAACATCGATGAGAGAGAATCATCTATCAGCTGCCTCTTGCACACCCCCTACTGGGGATGTGTCTGCAACCAAGGTACATGCCTTGACTGGAATCGAACCCGGGACCTTTCAGTCCGCAGGTCGATGCTCTATCCATTGAGCCAAACCGGTTTCAGCTCTCCCTATTATTTTTAGAGGGATTGGGAAGGGAGGGGAGAGAGAGAAACAACATCTCCTGGTTGCCTCCAGCACAGGATCGAGCCTGAAACTGAAGTGCGTCCCTTTGACCTGAATCAAATACCCAGCAGAGCTTGTACCACCTCAGGATCTGACGTCAGCTTTACTCTCAGCCTGTACACTCCAGCCACCCCTTGTTCACACTGCTGAACTGATGCCTAATGGAGAGCACATAGACTCAGTCAGTGCCCTGAGCCAGAAAAACACACAAGCTTCATCACAGGAGAAAACATACAAAAACATATTTATAACCTGGGGGGATGCATTCATAAACAGGACATAAACATACAAAATTCATAAAAGAAAGGATCAATAAATATGTCCAGCTCAAAATGTAAACCTTCTTACTGAAAAAATACACAAGAATATCCTATACAATTTTAAAAAGCCGAATAATAGCCCAGGAGGAAATATTTACAGCATAAATGCCAGAAGATCAGGATTTGGGATGTATAAAGAATCCCAAAGTTTAGTTTTAAACAGTATCAGGCAACACGATGTAAAATGGGTGAAGCGTAGATTGCCAGTAGATGATAAAGAAGAAACAAATGGCCAAGAAACATGAAATAATGCTCCGCTGGACCAGAAATCAGGAAAATGTAAATTTAAGTGAATTAAGATGCTTTTTTTTTCTGCCAGCAGATTGGCAGCATTTAAGAAATATATAACATCATTGGCCAAGATGACGGGATATGTCCTTTTGTACACCACTGGTGTAAATCAATATATCTACTTCAATTAATGTCTATTAAAAATAAAAATGTGCATACTCCACATCTCAGTCATTTCATTTTATAGTATCTACCTCAGGAAAACACCTGTGTGCTCAGAAGGCATGAATGGCATGTGTACTAAACAATTTTTGTTTTAGCAAAACAATAGATACAATAAAAGACTCCAATAATAAGTGGGCAGCTGATAGACTGGGGGACATCCACAATCTGAAGCCCTGGCAGCACTTAAAGCCAATAAATTTTATATATATAAAATTTATTGGCTTGTGTATACATAAAGCCACACTGTGTGTGTGTGTGTGTGTATACATATATATATACATATATATATGCAATAATAAAACTCACAGATTCATTGCATTATAATGTAAATATCTGTGTTTTTCAATGGTCTTAGGCTCTACAGCAGCGGTTTTCAATCTGTGGGTAGCCATTGGAAAACACAGATATTTACATTACAATTCATAACAGTAGCAAAAGTACAGTTATGAAGTAGCAACGAAAATAATTTTATGGTTGGGGGTCACCACAACATGAGGAACTGTATTAAAGGGTCAAGGCATTAGAAAGGCTGAGAATCACTGCTCTCGTATATACATAAAGCCACACTGTACGTTTCCTCGGAATACCGATCTGAGTGTGCCTGCATAGAGCCAGGTATCGAAGAATCTTCACCACATTGAAAGCAGTGAACCCTCCTGGAAGAAATAAGGCATTTGCAGAGGGAGAGGCTCATGGAGGAAGTTAGCTTCATCTGCAATGATTTTACGAGACAGATTTAGTCACGTATTACTTAATGATGCAGTTACAGTGTATGATTTTCAAAAGGGAAAGGGTGTGGGCTGGGATCACTAAGTTCTGGTTCTGGAGACCTTCCCTTCTGCGGACGCCGCCCCAGGATAAGTGGCATCTCCATTCATCTGAAGGAACGTCTATAATCCACTTCTGCATTTCAAAGGGTTGTGAAGGTTAAGTGTGCTGCTGGCTGAAGAGGAGTCTGGTTGAGTATCTGGTTTAAAGAATGTGCTTCTCCCAGAAAGAAACTCTACAGACTAATTCATATGCCTTTCAGCATAACGATTATTGCTTGCCTCATTTTTGATTCTTATATTTCCAGTAGGACATGATCTCACTCATCTAGGGGAAATGGTGAACAGCATAGACTGATGAACAAGAACAGACCCAGAGACAAGGAGCCATGGGTCAGACTGTTGGACCTCAGAGGGAGGGTGGGAATAAAAGGGAGAGATCAACCAAAGGACTTATGTGCACACATATGAACCTAACCAGTGGTCGAGGACAATAGGGGGTAGGGGCAAGAGTGGGGGGGATGGAGGATTGGAATGGGGGGTTGAGGACAAATATGTAATACCTTAATCAATAAAGAAATTTTAAAAAAAGAATGTGCTTCTCACTGGAGCTTTTCTTGCTTTGTGGGTGGGCTTTTAAGAAGACAACCCAGTTCTCACAGTGGAAATGGACACATTGGCTGTAAGTCTTCATGTTGGTTTTCATGACCGGCATGTAGTTGGACACTGTGGTTTTTTTCTTCATTTATCTTCCTAACACCTATGCGAAGTAAGACCTAGTTCCCTTGCCCATGAGAAGACCGAGGCCAAGGGGAAGGGACTGGCTTGTTTCCCAGCTCGCAAAGCTCCACGGGAGCTGCTATTGGGTCTGGAATGTCTACCTGTCCCATCTGTCAGTCACGGTTGGTGGCAGTGTGGAACACCCAAAACAGAAACTTCCGCCCTTAATCACTCTGAACCGTGCAGAAGTGTGACTGCACCTCACTCTCTGAGGCCGTTCCCCATAATGATCAACCACAGAAAACAGCCCAGCCAATTGTGTTTGCAGAAACATTTGGTTGCTCTCAGATGCATTGGGGGAAAACGTGGGAACTGCCACACTCATCTATAGCATTTTTAAAAATATATATTTTATTGATTTTTTTACAGAGAGTAAGGGAGAGAGATAGAGAGCTACAAACAT